GGGGGGGGGGGGGGGGGAGGGGGTTGCGAAGCGGGGGCAAGGAGCGAGGCAGGAGGGGAGGGCCGAGGCGAGGGGGAGGCGAAGAGGGGAAGGGGGCGGGGGAGGGAGGGAAAGGGGCTGGCCATCTGGCGCCAGCGCCCAGGCCGGGCACAGCCGGCCGAAGAAGGGGATCCCAACGCCCGGGCGGCGGCGGCGCGCGCGGCCCTGCGATCTGGCCTCCGCCCGGCCAAGCGCCGGCGCAGACACATGCGCGATCTCCCCTCGCCGAAGGGTCAGGAAGCGTGTCGCGGCACTCGCGGCGACGCGGGCACCGGCCCCCCTCCCCCGGGCCCCCCCAGTGCCAGAGGGCACATGCATGAGACGCGCACGACGCGCGGCCCTGACGAGACAGACCAGGCAGCAGTGGCATGGTCATGTGTGTTTGGGACGTGCATGTGATCTGAAGAAGGTGTTCCGTTCTGGTGTGCATCGCCGCCGTTGGCCGGCCTCCGCTCGGGGCCCATCAAGCGATCCCCGATCGAGTCGGCCGGCGGGGGGGGGCGGCGATGGGGGCGGCGGCGGCGGCGATCCGGCACACCTCTCTGCCGGGGGCCGCGGCGGCCCCTTCGGCGGCGGCTTTCAGGCCCGGGCCTGCTGGCTCATGCGGCGGCCTCGGCGCGAAGCACACCCGTACACGCACCCTCTCCCGCACACGCATCCTCTCCCGCACACGCATCCTCTCCCGCACACACACACACACACACACACACACACGGACACAGACGCACGGACGCACGGACGCACGCAGCTGCCACACACGCCACCCCTCGCCTCCCGGACCCTTCCCCTCCTGGGCCCTTCCTCCTCCCCTGCAGAGATGACCAGCGCCGACTGCGCGTCCCAGCTGGAGCCGTTCCTCAAGGGCGATCCGGCCCTGCTGGCCCGCGTTCGGGCTGCCCTCAGCGCGCAGCCGGACTTGGCGAGTCTCCTGCTGGACGTGGTCCGGGCGGCGACCGGCACGCCGGGCCCCGCGAAAAAGACCCCCGACCCGGTCGCCGGCAGCCCGGCGCCGCTCGTGCAAATCGATGGCCTGCTGAGCCTGACACCGGCGGCGCGTGGAGGCGCCAAGGCCCAGGCTGGAGCCCGGCTGCGGCTGCTCCCCGGCGGTCGGGCGGAGCTCCTGTCGGCCAGTGAGGCCGGCGGCGCGCCGCTGGCCGTGATCGAGCGCCTGGCCGGGCTCCTGGCCGTGCCGCTGGCCGCCGATGCCAAGGCCGAGCATGGGCTCTTCGCCGGGTACGAGACGGCCACCGGGAGCCCCGCCAGCGAGGCGGATCGCTGGGCGGTCCTCCTGCATGGCACCGCCGACGGGGGGGCGCCCAGCTCGGTGCAGAGCATGCGCCTGGGGGCGCACCTGGCCGGGCCGGTGGCCGAGCGCACCGTGGTCGGCCTGATGCGTGCCCTGAAGGCCGCCCTGCCGGCGATCCGGCTGGAGGTGACGGCGGACCCGGGGTCGGCCGACGCCGCGCGGCACCGCCCCTCGGGCCTGGCTCCTGGGGATTTGACCGCGGGCTTGCTGGCGGCGGCTGCCCCGCTGACCGGCATCGCGGCCTACCTCCGCGCTCGGGAGAGCCGGCTGCTCTTTTCCCCGTGCGGCATCTACTTTGGCCTGGAGCGCCGGCCGGTGGTGGTCATCCCGGCCGACCGGGTGGCCGACATCCAGGTGGACATGTCGGCCGCGCCGCGGTCCCTGGGGCTGGCGGTGCGCCTGCGCGAGGACCCGCCCGCCGACGAGCCGGGCCCCGCCGCCACTCCGGGCACCCCGCGCCGCCGGCAGCCGGCCATCGAATTCCACCAGATCGCCATGGGGCAATTGCACGTGCTCCAGGCGGCCCGGCGGTACTTTGCGCCCGGCCCGACGGAGGATGACTCGGCCCCGGCGCCCGGGGTGGTGGCCCCGACGGCCGGCAAGTCCCTGGGTCTGGCGGCCGGGTCGATCTTGGCCCGTACGCTGGCCGATCTGTCAGCCGGCAAGGAGCCGGGCCTGGCCCATGCCGGGGCCGATGACGAGGACGATGATGACAGTGAGGCCGGGGACTATGAGCCCTCGGACGAGGGGTCGGACCTCGATGGCGGGGCATCCGGCAGCGATGACTCCGACTCCGACTCCTCCGCGTCCTCCGACGCGGACTCCGGCTCCAGCGATGGCGACGACGATGATGAGGAGGAGGCGGAGGCCATGTCCAGCGATGAGGACGCCGGGGCCGACCCGCACGCGGCCACTCCGCCCGCTGTGTCTCCGCCCCCGGTGGCCAGCCCCAAGCGCGCCCCGAGGCCTGCTCCGAAGCCCAGCTCGAAGGCCGCCGCCCCGAAGCGCAAGCAGCCGGCCCCGGCGGGGGATGCACCCGCAACCAAGAGCGCCCCCCCGCCCAAGCGCGCCAAGCAGGCCGCCCTGCTGGCCGACTCGTCGGTCGTCGGCCCCATGGCCGCGGCTCCTACGGCCGCGGCCCGCAAGAAGGGCACCATCCAGCAGTTCTTCCGTGCCTCCACCGGCTCCTCATGAAGCCTTGGCCGGGTTCTTTCTGCTGGCGGCTCGCCTGTGGCCGTTTTTGGCCCCCCCCCCCCTGGCAGACACACGGAATACATATTTTTTTGTTCTTTTTTTTTTTTTTCTTCCTCCCCGGCCCCACCCGCCTGCGGCCAAACCCGCACTGGACCCCTGAACACACGCACGCACGCACGCACGCACGCATACGTTCGGGCCTGTCTGTGCGGCGGCTGGCATAGTCATTGTGGGGTTTTTGAAGTCCCCATGTGATCCGCCAATGCACATGACCAGCGTCAACATGAAACCGCCGACGCCCGGCGGGTCTTCGGCTCGGGTCCGCCGACGGCGCCGACGCCGGTAGGAGGCGCCCTGCGGGGTAGTCTCTCCCGTTGGTGTGTTGTCCACGCCAGGCGCGGCGTATCTTCCTCCCCCCCCCCCCCTGCCAAGCGCCCAGAGGCCCGCCACCTTAGAGCCACAAAGGAGGGAGCTGGGCGGGTGTGTGTGTGTGTGTGTGTGTGTACGCGCGCAAGGGGCAGCCGCATAGGTGGACCTGGACCCTCAAGACCACCAGGGCGGGCGGAGGGGAGGGAAGGTGCCCGGGAAAGCCCGGAGGAACTCGGGAAAAAAACAACAATAATATTTGACTTACACATATCTCCCCGGCCCGAATGGGGCCTATGCCGTGCCGAGGTGATCCTTTCTCCCACACACGTTTGCTGGACTGCACACACACACACACGCACACGCACGCACACACGCACACACGCACACACGCCTGAGAGTGCGCACACCCCGGGCCCGGGGTGTGAAACATTCCGCTCGACGTTCTGCCGCTCCTTTTCCGGGCCACCGCCGCGCTAATCAGCCCCCGGGCTTCCCCCCCCCGGCCCCTTTTCCCGGGCAGGCGCCTCTTCGGCCGGGGGGCCGGGTCCCCGCACAGCCCGCCTCGCGCGGCCCCCCCTCCCCCCCCGTTTCTAGCCCGTGTGCCCCCCTTTTTGCGGCCCCTTTCGCGCCGAGAGTGCTTCCCTTTTAGGCCCCTGCGGCAAGCCGTTGTGTTCGTCGGAGTCCTGCCACTGGCACAAAGCGCGGGGCCGGCGCGGCCCGGGCCCGGCCCCTTTCCCCCTTCCTCGGGGGCGGCTCTTCTCCGGAGAAGCCGCGCTTAGGAGCGGCGGAGGGGCCGGCCGGGGGGGGGGGGGGGGTGCGCGCGCGCGCGCGCGCGCCCGCGATGGCATATCAGCCAGCGTGGCCGCGAATCCCGACTGACGACCGTCCTCCGGGTCCCGCTCCCCGGCCCGGCGGGGGTCTCGCCCGACGGAGCGCGGGGGCCGCCGGGCCTCCTTTTATTGGGCACGGTGCCCGAAATAGACCCAAACACCGGCCGCCCCCGGGCCTCGCCCGTTGCCCCCCCCCCCCCCCCCCCCCCCCCCCCCCGCCGGGGGGGCCCCCCCCCCCCCCCCCCCCCCCCCCCCCCCCGGGGGACCGATGGTGCTCTCATGCACGCGCATTCGCGCACCCTTGTCGAGCCAGCGCGCGCGCGCGCGTGCCCCTGGATGTCCACCGGGGCCCGGGAGGCTGGCTGCGACGACCCCCTCCCCCCCGTCCGGGGTGGAGGACGGAAAACAACAAGCCGGGCACCCCGCCCCGGGCGCGCAACAACCCCCCCCCCCCGCCCACCCATTCGGCCTGCAACCCCCATGTGCCCGCTGCAAGACCGCGAAGGCCGTGGCCGAATGCTCAAGGCGACCCGGGCTGCGCCCGCACCGAGGCCCGACCGTGTGCGCTTGGCCATCGCTCTCCTCCCTCCCCCCCTCCCCCCTCCCCTGCCCTTGGTTTTTCGCCCTTTCCCGGTGTCAGCATCACTGCCAGCCCCATCTCCCACACGTGCCCCTCTTGCCCTTGTTCCTTTTCTTCCCCGTCCTCCGTCCTCCGGTTCCCCCCTCCCCCTCCCCCGGAAGCCCGGCGCCCTAGACCGCCAGCATGGGCAACCTCCTTTCCCTTCGTTCACGGACAGCGGAGCACGCCAATCTCGTCCAGGCGGCCTCCTCCTCCGGCGCCCAGCTGAACCTCTTTCTGCGCCGTACGTGGAGGCCTGCCCCCCCCCCCTTTCTCCCGTGGTCATCGCTCGTCGTTCCCGGCCTTGCCTGCCACTCCTCCAACTGACTGCTCTCTCCCCCCCCCCCCCCCCTCCCCCCTCCCCCTGCATCTCCCCTTTGGCGCTCTTTCCGCCTCGCTCTTTCCGTCTCGCTCTTTCATCCCTCTGCTCTTTCATCCCTTTGCTCTTTCGCTCTTTCGCCCCGCCCCCCTTCGCTCTGACATGCAGCACCGCCGCCCGAGAGCAGCGATGCCATGAACATCTACTCGTGCACGTCCGAGGCGCTGGACAACTTCGCCGGGTCCCTCCTAGATTGCCTGAAGATCCGGGAATTCTACCATGCGCGAAACTCCAACAAGACCGGCGCCGTGAGCATGATCTCCTCCGACTCGGACGAGGATTACCTGCGTCTGCTCAACAGCGCACGGGTTGTCTCGACTTCGGTGGTGGACGCCCGCTCGACGGGTATGTTCATGTTGCTCTCTCTCTCTCTCTCTCTCTCTCTCTCTCTCTCTCTCTCTGTTGCCCCCTGTGACATGGCCTTGGCCCCTCGGCCGGTTCGCCCCCGCGTCCTCTTTTCATTGTCAGGCCCTGACCGCCGTGTGCCGTGTCTTCCCCCGCCGCGGGATGTTGCCCCCTCCTCCTCGGTTTTTTCCACTCCCCCCCCCC